AAGGACTTTCTTAGCACTAGAATAATTATTGCGTGTTTTAGCCATTATATTACAATTACAATCACAATTAAACAGACACTGAATTAGAAGACTAGTCAATGACTAATAATAATCAAAACGTAAACCAATATGTCCCAAAAATTACGTACCAAAACTTACGTTATATTAAATTCGGCTTATACATAGGTACCGGCTTATCTATGGGAACATTTTACTTTTGATATTTTATGATTCGGCTTATACATGGGTGGGCTTATCTATGGGTTTTTAGGGTAATTCAATTTAAAAATTACTTTTACTTAAAATTTACTAAAAATCGTATAATACTTTAAAATATCATGCCACCTTTATCAAATAACCATGATTAAAAAAATTATCTTTAATAATTATTATAGTAAACTACTGTTTAAATGTCTGTTTAAACTGTTTATGTCTACCACTATAAGCATCAAACAATTAACCACGGTCGAGCACAAAATAAATGAATTGTGATCACAATAACTACTGACACCGCACTCGGCCAGGCCCTCGTCTCTCATAGACCCTGATCATATAATGTATAGCCATAAACACCACGATCGACAGTCCCAGATAAACCCACTCGATCACCAAAAACACCCACGACTCGTGCTCCATAAACTCGCCGATTATCAACGGGGTAAAAATGGTGACCACACCCCTGGCCAGCAGGAAAACAGTGCCCATACGGTCAGTCATGGACAGGTACTGGTCGGTGAAGGTATAGGTGCCGGCGAACATGGGCGAAAAGCCCCACATCAACAGCGCGCTGGCCACCCATAGCGTGGGTAGACTGTACTGGCCCACCACCATCATCACCATGGCCACCAGCAAGATGGCGTAATGGTAACAGATCATGGTGTTTATGGTGACCCGCATCGAGACAAACACGTTGACGAGTCGGGCCACTGAGAAGACACCGGTGGACACCGCGAATATGTCGGCGCCGGTGCCGGCGCTCAGCCGTTGCGGTGAGTACTGGTAGTAAGCGATGGCGAACTTCAAATACATGGACTCAAACACCACGTAGAGTGTGAACCACGCCGTGAATAGGCCGGCCATCAGTGTCCGTGGGCTCAGCGCCGGGTCGTCAAAGAGTTTTACAGGAGCTGTAGTGTTGGCGGTCACCGTATTATCCAAGTCCTTGTCCTGGCCATCATCTGGGAGTGTAGATTGTATGGTTAGCACCTGTAGTTAACATTAGTATTTATACTGTACTATACCATCGATAGGGCGATCCTTTACCACCGCTTTGTATGGCTTAATGAAGTACATGATTAGCGATGCGATCGGAACTAGTATTATGTGAGGGTAAATGCTTTTTTGATCATGTTTAAAACTGCACAACATTAATGCATAGCTATAAAATTAAATATATAATTTTGAATAAAACAAACAATCTAGTTTACTTACATATTAATAAACAGGCGCACAATATAATACAGGGTTGCAGTAATTTGTCCCGTCTCTCGGCAACGCTTACTATAGTGGGCGCCAAATACTGACTATGATTTCCCGGGTATATCCCGGGGAGGGCTACAGTAGTGGTTGTCAGCGCCGGGTCGGCTACCATCTCACCGGTCAGGTAAGGCTTTAATATAGCCGTACAGATGATTGAGCCGATGCCGAAAGACAGGGCGTTGAGCTGTAATAGCGGTGCCGAGTGTTTAGGGTAGAGCTCAATCACCCATACAATATAACCCATGGTGTTTATGCTGGAGCCGAAGCCGAACACGAAGGCGCAAATGTATAGCTGCCATAGGCTGGTCAGCGCCGGCATTACGGCACACATTACCGCTATTATGATGAATGATATGGCGATCACTAGTTGACGGTTTAGCCACCGGTAGGTCAGGCCAACTGTACAGTATGTTTAGGTATTTAATTAAACATGGTGAAATAATTTTGAGGTTAAGTACTGATTATAACAAAACTACACTACAAAACGCTAATTAATAAAATTATTTTTATAACAATTAATTTCTATATATTATTTAA